TTACCCAATGTTATATGCCTCGGTTGCACAGTAAACATGTGATTGTATAGAATGAAATGGAAATAAAAAAGATTTGTACTAAAAAAAGAAATGGTGTAGGGCCTCCTGGGCCGTGAGGTTGGACTAGATGACCTATAAGGTCCCTTCCAACTCTGTTATTCTGTTATCTGCTTACAAGCTATGCAGCCACATTCGGCTTCCCCTTTCAAATTCTAAATGCTGAACAAGATTTTAGAAAAAGACACAAACCAACCTAAAATATCTTCCACTGAGATTTCTCCTGAGCGCTCCACATCCTTCTCTCTGCACTCTTTCAGGATTTCTTTCCAACAGTGCTGAACATTTTTGCGGATTTTACTTTCAATTGGCTGGCAATTCAGGATAGGTGGAGTGGGAACCGGTGCTGTATTAGGCCTGCTGGCACCTGGAACCTAAAAGAGAGGACAAAGTTCTCAGCTTGCCATTCAGGCTTCCAGGGAATGAAATGCAATTGCTTTCGGAACCTGCGGCAGAATAAAATTGAGGAGAGCGGTTAGAAATTTTCTTTTCATTTGAGAATCACAATGATTACAGATAGACCTCACTTAAACCGCCATAGTTGGCACTGGTGCTCCAATGCTAGGCAACACGCTTGTTACATGAATCCTCGCATGAATTGTGGCAGTCATTAAGTGAGGCATCACGTAACCACGTCTTGGAATTTTACTGCCAGCTTCTCCGTGAACTCTGCTTCTCAGATGTGGTTGTGAACCATGCAAATGGCAATCATGTGACTGTGGGAACAACGGAACAGTCATAATGTGAGGACCAGTTGTAAAGTTATTTTTTCGGCACTAAGCAAGATTGGAGTTGGCAAATATTTGGATGGGAGATGACCCACACAAGGACTTGGACTGCTGGGTAAACTGGATCGTAAAAAAGGTAAAGAAAACATCAGAATAAATCTGGACTCATGTGGTTACTAAGAAAATTAGATTGCTGTGTCCAAGAAATCACTAGGAATCAAACCAGGGGTGGGTTCCTGCCAGTTGTAACCTCTTCTATAGAAGAGGTTCCACAAATCTACAGTGCCGTTTACAACCGGTTCCAGCTCCCCCCCCCCGCCTGTCCAGATTTATTCTGATGTTTTCTTTACCTTTTTTACGATCCAGTTTACCCAGCAGTCCAAGTCCTTGTGTGGGTCATCTCCCATCCAAATATTTGCCAACTCCAATCTTGCTTAGTGCCGAAAAAATAACTTTACAA